TTTTTAAAAGGTAAGCTTTTAAATTTCTCCTATCTTTTATGGTTAGTAGAATCATTTTTGGGTTCGTTGAAGCATTATGCTTTAATCTTTATTTAACAATCCAAGATTCCTAAGTTATGAATTTTCGATCTTGAAATTCCATGGCTTTTAACTTTTTAAGGCTCTAACCACTGTTTTAAAAAAAAAAATCCATATAGTTAATGACTTTTTTTGTGTGTTCATGCTTGTTCAAGGACACTTTTTTGGGTCGGTGAAGACAAATGGATCTTGGAGGGTTGGTTTCTGGTCTGGTCTCATATTCAGTGTATCTTATGACAAGACCTTTCTTTTTGTGCATATCTGCATGTATGTTCTGTCTTAGAACAGCTCTTGTTACAACCTTTGTGTCAACTGATATCGTGAGCTCTGCTATTTGGTTCAACTTAAGTTTGTTCTGGAGAGCTGTGTGGGGCTCAATCTGGGGATCTATTCTCCTCTTTACGTTCCCGATTCGCTTCTTCGCCTCGATACCAAGGGAACGACTGGTTCGTTTCTGTTTCCAAACCTTTCCTTCTATACAGTTTTAGTAATCTTTGATTGGTCTACAAAAAAGAGTCACTTTGATTGGAAGTGCAATATTTAGTACTGATCCTAGATATTTATATTGTTTTAGTAATCGTCTATTGGTTATGAATTAAAGGAATTTAATGATCCGTATGATTAGGCTAATTTCGATTATTTCAGTCATCTTTGATTGGTTTTGAATTAAAGGATTGTAAAAGATTTGGTACTGACCTCTGATGATCTTAAAGGGTTAGAAAATTGAGGATCTGCAATTGTTTTGACAGTAGCCTTTTGAGAAGTCCTTAAGATTTGTGTATTTACAGCTTGAGCAGAGTATTTATGAGTTGCGGTACGAGCTGGAGAGTCTTGAATGGAATAGAAAAGAAATAGAGGATAATCTCCGGAAAGCAATTAAAGAATATCGACTCATGGAACGCGAATTAGATGAACTAGAAGATGAAAATGATGAAGCCATTTCCAGAATAAAGAAGCTCGAGATTGAGGTAAGAAATCCGGTTCTATCGATCTTTGCATAACCGAATACATACAATCTAGAACATTTTGGATTTTGACAGTTGCAAGAGATAAAGGAAGAATATATTCGGCTAAAGGAAGTTCAAGGAAAAGATAACTGGACCATGAAAGGCCAAGTTAAACCGGAGGAAGAACCGAGCGAAATTCGCAACATCCAAAAGCCGAAGCATATTCCTTACGGGTCAAAGGGAAAATCCGAGTTCACATCGGTTAAATCGCCTCTTTACCCATTTGCAAAATCGTCAATCCCAAGAGAAGAAGAACTAACACCAAGAGTTCTCGCTTTAGAGAGAGACGTTGCGGTTTCAAGAAGCGTGTTCAGCGCAATGCTTGCACTCGTGGTGGGTATAGTAATATATGGAGCCAAAGAACAAGAGCTATGCACTCCACTCATAGGAGCACTCTTCACTGTGGTTGGTATCTCTTTGAGAAGCGTGGTTCAATTTTTCTCCACGGTTAAGAATAAACCGGCTTTAGATGCAGTTGTTCTTATGAGCCTCAATTGGTTTATCGTTGGTACTCTTACTTACCCGACTCTACCGAGAATCGCTCGAATGGTGGTCCCACGAGTCTTTAACACTGCTGGCTCAGTCATGATGACTTTCCTCGGTAGTGATTCGGTCCCCTCGCCGCCCGAGCCTGTGAACTATGTTGGTTAAGTTTGTGTTCATATATATACTATACATCAAAACTTTTTAGTACCCAATGTACTTCTGTTTGAGAGAATGTAATTATTAAAGACTAGTCAAACCAGACTGAACCGGGATCTGTATGTATTTTCAAAAGTAATCCGAATGTATTACAGAAACTTTATACTCCCTCTGTTTCAAAATATAAGTTGTTTTAGCAAAAAACACGGATATTAAGAAATTACTTTTCAACTAAAAAATATTATTTAATATATCTAATAAAAATAATTTGATCAATCACACAAAAGACTGCAAAATATTAATAGTCACACAATATTCAATAAAGTTAAAAGTACTTAGTATTGTCAAAACAACTTACATTTTGAAACAAAAATAAAACTCTAAAACAATTTATATATTGAAACGGAGGGAGCATCAAATAAATCGAACCGGGATTGATTTGAAGACCCCGTACCGGCTCGACGTGACAGTCACAAGTCACACGTGATGGTACTGTACTATGCCTGTTTCACCCAAATCTAGTTTAGGATTCGGAAACAAGATTGTGTGAAAAGAGAAGACTTTTTTCAGAGGACACGCGTCGATACACAACTGGTCTGTTATTTTCTTAAAATACCCAGCAAATCAGGTTTAATGTATTCTCGATTCTTTAAAGAAAGGGAAAAAAACCTTTACCAGATTTGGCAAACTGTTTTTTTTCTTTCTTCGTCCATGAAACAA